ATGCTTTGAAGTTTTGAGTGTCATGGGTTTGGTCAGCACGAGCCACAGGGAAAGATCAGCAAGGCTAAGAGCCATGGTGCAAGATTGGCACAGTTATGAGCTATAATGATAGATCAATGGTTGCCAGGAACGATGGAGCAGGTATGCACGGCTATGAAAGCAAAGCTAGGGCTTGCTTAGGGCTGGCTTGGGCTAGGTTGTGAAACATCTAGAGTGTTGAGAATAAGACTTGCCCCCCAGTTCTTAGTAGTTGGGCTAGTGTGTCCGTATGGTACTCATTTCCCTTTGGTGTGCCATTAGGCTGAGCTGCTGCTTTTGTCGGAACAGAGGTAATCTTTGTATTCGACAATTTATGTGGGATAGTCTTGTCTGCTCAATCTTGTCAATGAAATGTGACCTGCTTATGTTGGTCAAGTCTCGTTAAAGCACCTCGTTAGTAGCTTCGTTAGGCCGGAAATCGCGCAATCATTCAGTCATGAGCCTCTCAACTTCTTCTTTAATTTTCCTTTAGTGAGGCAGCGAAGCTTCTGGCTGCCTTCAGTCATGACTTGTTGGTCTAGGCTTCTCTTTAATATGCTTAGCTCATCTATGTCACGACTACGGTGCATGTGGTACATTCGTAGCAAGCGAGTGAATTTCTCACAGGTTACCAGTTGAACTTGAGCTAGATTGAATGATTACTCATTTCCGTCCATTATGCTACCTACTCCGATGTGAGGTGGAGGATACTCCTTGCGGGCCTAGCCACGAATGAACACTTTGCCTGGAAAGTTGCTCATGTTGATTATCAGAGTGTGGTCCTAATCTTGAATGTACGCTCGTCTATGGGCCTAATCGAGAGTGCATGCTCCTCTGCGCATTAAGACAAGAGTATACGCTATCTCGAGGGCCCAATCAAGAGTGTACACTGCCAGAACGCTTGGTTCGTGGCTGGTCGAATGGCTGTTTACTGGGACACTGCTGGAAAGGTTCTTTATCTGCCCTTGTCCTAATTTGGGACACCTCATCCAGGGCAAGTTGCATCTCGATGCGCTGCAGGAGCTCATTCACCAAGGTCGTTTACTATGCGAGGGCGCTCGTCAACTTTATGATTTGTTAGGACAAGTGTTGTTCTTCATTTGGGTTGGAAAAGCTTGGACGGAATGTGTCTCCTTGAGTAGTGGAGTTGGGACGATTGAACAGGTTTTTGACCGGTTTAAGCTACTTAGGACACCACGGAAGTGGGTTGGGCCACCGGAGTAGGCTAGAATATGTGCAACGCACATGGGTGCGAAGCTTAGGATCAGCTTGGGTGCGCATTGGTCTCGCGCTTGGTCATGGCTCGGGCCCATGTGGTTCGATGTGGTGCGAGACATTGGGTAGCCTTAGGCACAATTTAGGCTTACTCGCCTTGGGATTGTCTGTTTTGGATCGTGTGCTAAGTGGAGGCGTGCATGGCTTGTGCATGCGTTATTGGGGCAGGGGCTTGGGCTGGCTCGTGACGGGCTTGGCTCAGCTGCGTTGTGGCGTGGGCTACCTTCTAAGCTGTTAACACAATTACTCCCTACTCACCGTGGGCTGGCTACCATGAAGCTGGCCTACTCCCCACTGCCATTGTGGTGGTGCTTCGTGGTAGCAAAGGTGTTCCACTTGCCATTGCATTAAACCTCATGGATCTTCGAGGTGGGGCTACATCTCGTCCTCCATTATTTGATCCGCATCCTTGAACGTAGAAAGTTTCATTTGTTATGGTTTCCGAATTTCTAGTCATTGTACTTTTCTTTTAGTGTATAAAAAAATTGAGGAATAAGATTGTATGAAAAATCTACAAATCAACGAGAAATAAGAAACTTTGAATGCGAGAATTTTCTTCGAGCGTGTGAATCAAACTCTCAATGAAAGCACCAATTTATGGATGCAAACTTCCGTCTTCTTCTTCTTAGACAAAAATGTACCTACAAAACAATTAACACCTTAGATCAAGGCCAAGAGTCTTACACGCCCACGATGATTGGAGGGCTTTGGTCGAAGAACCTCCAATGCCAAAGTTAGAATTTGAGGGAAAAGTGTTGAGAGAAATTTGGAAAATTTTGCAAGAGAGTTGGAATTAGGTTTTTGGAGAAATGAGGTGATATTTAAAGGGGTGTGGCTGACCCCTTTTGGAGAGATGGGAACCGGCCACGTATGGTGGTTTTTGGGTGTAATTGCAAGATATTATGTCAAAATAAATCTTGCAATCAATTAGGAAATTAATTAGAAAATTAATCAATTAATTTAGGTAATTAATCCTATTTTGAATGAATAATTGAAATTTACCTTGTGGGGAGGATTTGATGAGGATGGATGAAATAGGTTTTGAATAAATACTTATTTTGATCACTTTTGACCTTGATTGTGCCATGATTGTCTGCTGCTTGCGCGCAAAAGCTCTCGTGTGTCTCGAGGGTAATATTGTCCTTTTTCACCCAAAAATACACGTGTCGCCTCCATAATTTTCTTGATTATTTTCTACTCCACAATGATCATTGAGCTATCAATTTATACCATAAGCTTAAGGCAAACATGCATGATATAATTGGATCTACCCCTTCAATATTGTATCATTTTCTAAAAGCACGAACTATCATCTCCATCTGAAAGACGTAGCCCTTACTGACACAAGAACTAAGGTCATCTCTAACTGAAGAGTTCAGAGGGCTGAAAATAGCCCGAAAACCGTCTCCAACTGAGGGCTAGGCCAGAGGGTGGGCTCTATGGAATTTGAAAGGGCTAAAGGGCCAACCGGCTGGCCCAATCCAGCCAGCTAGCCAGCCCTGAGTTGGGCTAAAAATTTGAGTATTCCTGTCGGATAAAACCAACGGTAATATAATATATTCCTGTTAGTGCTAGGCCAAATTTTCAATGCAACGGCGAACTGACGTCAGCTAGCCGTTATTTTTTAATTTTCTTTTCTTTTTACAATTTTTTTTTTTTTTTTTTTTTTTTTTGCAAAATTTTTTTCCTATAACTTCTATTTTTTTTCTATAACTTCCTATAACTTCTATTTTATTTTACAAAATTTGTTTCATATTTTTTTAAATTCTATTTTTTTTTCCTATAACTTCTATTTTATAAAATTTGTTTCATATTTTTTTTAAATTCTATTTTTTTCCTATAACTTCCTAAGCCATTATACAACATTAAATTAAATTATGTTTGGCCCTTGGTTGGAGACGATTTTTTGTGACAAGGTTAAAACGAGCCCTATGGCCCTTTGGCCCTCGGTTGGAGATGGAGGCAAATATGACCATGTACTGTTCATTAAAATATTAATATGTTAAAGGGCAAGCGGGCTAAAACAAGTCATCTGGCCAGCCTGCGGTTGGAGATGGCCTAATGATATCTTCAAGCACTATTTTCCTGTAAAGCCTACCAACGAAGAACAAAAATTTTCAATCCTATAATAATGTTAAGCATGACATACTACAGTTGACTAGTTTTTTGTTTGCACCATCTCTTGTTTAGTGTTGAGCTACAAATTTATGGATTTTATTTAGTGTTGGTACATGATTGTTTAACTTGTTTTATAAGCATGGGTGGAAAAACTTGCTTTTTTTCCAATCAAAGTCATTCAAAGCAAAAAAGCAAGAGCAGTTCAGAGCTGCTATGAAAAACCAGCTTCTTTTTCACAAAATACAGGTGAACAATGTCTTTAATGAAAATTTCTATATGATAATTCTACCTTCTCTCTCTATCGTCCATTTATGCGCATCAAACATGAAGGAGTTGAACAAATCAGATGACCAGACGAGAAAAATAGGTCCCTTAAATTTTAGGTGTTCATGGTGGCGGCAAGGAAGGTAGAGGAAATGAGGGGTGGGCTATTTGGTTTGGGGAATAGGGTTTTAGTGGTCGTGGGTTTTGGGCTGGGTTTAGAGAGAGAGGGGTGGGTAGAGAGAAAAAGTGAAGGTGAGTATGGCGGTGACAAGTGTAAAGGAGCTTCGATGATGACGAAGCTTTGATCGTAGAAGTCACAAATTACAGGTTGAGAAGCAGTGACAAGGATGATCGAAGTAGAGAGCGGAGGCAACGAAGAAATGAGGGTTTGAAGAGGAGAGTTTTGGAGTAGATGACATTTCACCACAGTGGTGGAAAATAATTATGTTTATATATGTATTTTAGTGTAGGTTCAATATCCACCAATCCTCATTTTTCTTAATAGCGGAGAGCTTTAGGATCAAGGTACTACCCACTTGTTTAACATTGATAAGTAGATAGTTAACTAATTATTAGCTGTTTTATGTTATTGATCACCATTTTTTTTTTATCAACTTCTATTAAATTATTTGATCGTTAAGTGAAGATGGAGAAGACAAAGATTATAAAAAATAAAAAAATAAAAAAATAAAATAAAGATAAACATGATAATATTTCATCTACCAAAATACCTATTTTGGTCATTTTATGTTGTTGTAACAGTTTTACATAAAAGAATGGGAGCATTTTTGCTCACCATTATTTAGTATGATGTATGCTCACCATCCTATTTATCACCGTTAGATGAGTTTGAATTTCAAGATTCGTATAGTGGATAAGCACAAATCTCAAAATTTAAACTTATCTAACGATGATAAATAGAGTGGTGAATATACACCATACTAAATGATGATGAACAAAAATACACTCTTTTACAAATACCGAACAACTTTGTAGTCGCCTTTTATCTTACCATATATTACCAATAAAGTTCAAGAAATTTTATTCCTTTAAATTTTATATGCTCTAGGATTTGACATTTGTCGATCATTTCATATTATTCGTAACGGTATGTTGTTTTCAATTTCTTTCCGTTTTAAACTTCACAAATCTAGAGTGTGATCAGTAAGAATCACAAAAGCATAAAGTCTAGGAGTAGAATGAACCAAATGCCAAGTAATCCCCTCCCCTTCCTGTTGTTGTTGTCATATGAAATGATTAATATCCTTGCATTGCAAAGTAAGCCATTCCTATATTCCAAATTTCCAACCCAAATCACAAGTACTCCTCTCTATATATCCACCTCAATCCTCACCCCAAATGGCAAAACCTCACCTACAAATCAAGCTCACAAACCCAGCAACAATGACAAACGAGTCAATCAAACCCAGCAGCCACTTCTCAGCCGATCACGGAGGCAGCAGGCACAACAAGCAACTGGACAAAGAAATCCGAGACATGGTCTCCGCCATCACCAACCGAGTCACGGACATCCAAAAGTCTGGCTCCATCCACCACGAGGACGAGGACGAAGACGGTGTCAGGATCATCACCCTTGCAGGATCCAACACCGGAGCTACATTGAGGGGTGAGCTGGATAATGAGAACGTTAACAAACTTGCAGGGCTTCATGGTGGTGGTCCGGCTTTGGGAGAGGCTGATGGGCTGAGCACTTACGTGAACAGCAACTTCCAGGCCGTGAACAACTCCCTCATGATGGGCGGCAGCTACACCACGAATGACCCCGGCGTTTGCATGGACATCATAGATGTTGTGGAGCCGCATGGCGGGCATCATGGGAAGCCGGAGAAGCAGGGATGGAAGGGGAAGAAGAAGGAGAAGGAGAAGGAGAGGGAGAGCTTACATAGCGACCAGCATCATGATACGGACTGATGAGCTTATTATGTTTCTTTATTTTTATGGAGTGGCTTAATTAATTACTAATGAATAAGAAGCCTTTGTATGGCTTTCTGGTTTGTTAAGTTATGATCAGTTAGTTTCACTTCCCAATTTATGTCTTTATTCTCTGGACCTTATCTCTGGACTAAAGAATGCAAAAATCATGAGTTTTAATTTTCTTTGTAATTTTCTTTGTGGTATTTATTTGTTGATTCTGTATATGTAGTTGGCACAACGCTAGTTTCTTATCATTATGCAGTTTTCGAGGAATGTTTTTGGTAAAACTGTCACATCTCTACGTAGTGTTATAAAATATTATTTATCATTTACTCATATTAGATCACGTAACGAGAGAGTGACCATCAGGTCCATCATTCCTAAATTTTGTTCATAATTGTCACCTCAAAAGCCTATTTTGGAAGTGAATAATATTTGTTTTCTTACAAGTAAGAAATCATTTTTCCGTGCATGATCACATGTCATCATTTCACCATACAAAAATAGTAACAAAACCGTCAAATATCTTTATAATCATCATCTTAAAATCATTTCTATAAAAAAATTATTTAATTTTGATACTATTTTAGTAACATATCATCATAATTAACTATCAACTTACTTGATTCATATGGATGACTTTAGACATGGCCCTTAGATGATAAAGAAATGAGTAATGTCATACTTACCACATATTTATATTATTTTTCTAATAGAGGTAACCAATACATGTGGGTCTCATCTCTATAGAGATGGTACAAATATATGGTAAAAGTATCATTTTTGTAAAGAAATGAAAAAGTTATGATGTTTGCAAGATGAAATAAATGACTCCATACATGCAAGAAGCTAAATAATGTTCTTTTGTGTTGCCTCTAATGACCATGCATGATACTCTTTGTTATCATCAAGCAATTTCAAATGCTAGAAGCTAGATTCCTGCAAATCACACTTTTAAATGGTGTGTGTTAAAAGTTTCATGGAGTAATAGGCCAAATTTGTTAGGAGTGTACCACAAAAATTAAAAATATAGTGTTTTTGTACGGAATTTTAAACAATTAAGTGTAAAATTTCTTGATGCTTTAAAGTCTCTCATCCAAATTTAAATTAAAATAATTTGTTATTTATCCAAGTTCAAAGATACATAGATTTTGAAAGTTTACCGTAAAACAAACACAATGTTACATATTTGAGTTGAGATTGAGTTCTTAGAATATATATTGAATATTTTAAGGTAGTATCAGAGTTGGTACGTCTTTCTTATCTTAACAAGAATTACGCATAATTTTGATCATTTTAAGTATGCGATTATGATGATGACACCTCATCGTCTAATTTGTCAATTTTCCACACCAGAAACAACAACATCAAATGGTAAAGATCTCAGCTATTAAACTGGTAAGTTCTTCAACTATGTCCAACATATTTCATTACCAGAAGTCTCACAAGGAACCATAGAGGAAATTTGCAATCATCAGATAAAGAGGTGAAAAGTTTAATCTACTTTTATTCCGGTTATGCTAGCTGACTTTTCTTTAGAATCCTGCTAGAAGACCATAACAATCAATTGGGAGAAGAAAACAAATGAACGCTTGTGAACTTGAAAGCATATGCAGTTCGGCTTCAAGGACGCCGCGAATCAACGGAGACTGTGATGGCGGGTAAATGTGATTCCTGCTCCTTGATTGCTTCAGACTCCTGGACTAGTTTTGTCGCACATTTCTGCATCTCTTTTTTCTTACCCCATAGAAGAATGTACAAGCCGGCGATTACAATGACAGATCCTAACAAGCTGCTCAGTGTCAATTCAACACAAATAGGGAAAGTTAGTACCACAAGTTGTAATCATATATAGGTATTGCCAACTGTAAAATAGATAGGAAAGTTCACCTTCCGAGGTGGAGTCGTTCATGGAAGATGGGGATACTAATTATGGCCGCCATTATCTGCACTAGCGGGCTAAATGCTGCAGTAAACACTGGTCCCCGTTTCCTCACACACCATGACATCCCCACGAAACCTAAGCCCGACGCTATCATTCCCTGTGCATATATGCACCAATAGTAAGGCATAGAGCTAAAGCATGTAACATTTTTTCTTTTGGACAAAGAGATATTCTAAGCTACTCCAATTTCCTGGAAACGGGTATATTGCATTGGCCAACTGGCATAACCTAGATTCGCGAAGTTGTATAGCTTTTGGAACAAAGATACCAAAACCCCTTATTTATTTTTCTGTACTTTTAATTAGAAGAAGGGTAATACTTACAGAAAACAGGACAGTTATGACTTGTGTCCTTCCCCTCAGAACCCACATGGAAAGGTTCCTTCCTGTGCACACACCTAAGATTGCAGACTGAATGGCACCAAAGAAATTCATTATTGTTGTGCTAGAATACTGGCAAGGATACATCTTGCTAATGTTTGTTTGAACAAGAAACCATGAAGACCACAATAGGGTTCCGCCAACCAAAGCTATTGAACCAACCGTCCACCGCTCATGGCTTCGCGTTGAGCTCAGGTGGATGCCATGGTCTTTGGCTTGAGTACTAGTTGTGGATTTTGAGTAATCAAATAGAGGAACTCCTTTGAAAAGAGTTAGTATCAAAGCACCACCAATGCACACCACTGCACCGAATACTTTCGCTCTCCCGCTGTTGCATTTTAAGTTCACCGTCTCTAACCTGCAGGATTAAACGCTTGATTTCATACAACAGCTCGTAAACAAGATTCACAAAACATGTAAATGAAAATGAGGTATTTGTGACTTTTTCGTACCCGAATGGTAACGCCACTATGAAAGTGATCACAGGCACCATGTTGACGAAGGCACAGGCAAAAGTCGCAGATGTATATTGGATTCCGAGGAGAAAGAAGTATTGTGTTAGGGACGTCCTGCAACAACATAAAAAATGTAACAATATTTTGGGCACATGAAAAAATGGAAGATTCGTAAAGTCTGTTTTGAGTTTACCAACCCAAGAATTGCACTTAAGAAGAGAAAACATGCGATGCGAAGTGTGAGCTTCGGTCTAGTATTCCTGCAAGCAAACCAGAAAATTCTTCACCAAGTTAAGGAAGAGAAATATCAAAATGAATTTCCATAAAAAAAAAAAAAACAAAAGCGAGGGATGATATATGCTTGCCTACCTTTCCCCAAAGTAGCTAATTGGAGCTAAGAAGATCGTAGAAATTGTCAACCGGTACGTGATAAGAACCAAATGGTTCATTCCCTCATCAAGCACTTTCTTGAGCAGAATATTCACTATAGCAAATGAGAAATCGATTGCAATCATGACAATAAAAGGTTTCCATTCATCAAACCCCTTCGCGTCCGCCATTTCCGAGAGTCACACTAGGAGGCAGGGCTGAGCTAGCTAGGCCTCTCAATAACTCTGAGTTTTTCACCAATGGTTCTTATGCTTAGAAACACACCAGAGGGCAGACCAGTCTGTTGAGATAAATAGACAGGCTTCAGAATAAGTGGGCACAAAGCAAGATTAAAATTCTCCAAATCACATCACTGCTTTAAGCAACCAACTTTGACATAATTTAATCTTTGATTTCCTTTATTTTTTTACTTCCCTTTTTTCATTGACTAATACTTTCCAATGCGTACAGATTAACCGGGGAATCGTTTCATACAGTTCTTCGGGCATCGAATTCACGATCTCTCTCTCATACAACCCTATCCTAGAAGTTGTAGAGTCTTCATAGGCCATGGGGTTTCCCATTTGCAATTGTTTTTACTCTGTTAGGTTATGTTATTTCCATCAGGGAATCTTCTTTAAGTCAACAGTTTTACTAAATATATAGCTCAACATGGGCATCTATTTTTAGTGGTGGTGCTGGAAATAAATACTCTTATACCTCCTCCTGTGCTTGACATTGGCATCTAATACTTCGTCGAACCAGAACGAACAGCGGCCGTATATCATCAACCCATTTTTTTAGAACATGTAAGTCAACAGTTTTACTAAATATATAGCTCAACATGGGCATCTATTTTTAGTGGTGGTGCTGGAAATAAATACTCTTATAACTCCTCCTGTGCTTGGCATTGGCATCTAATACTTCGTCGAACCAGAATGAACAGCGGCCGTATATCATCAACACATTTTTTTAGAACAACATGTCAAATCTTCCCACTAGGAAATTTAAAGAAACGTAATGTTTAAAACAAGGGATTGTGATCAATTAAACTATGTTGACAACTAACCCGGGTGAGGTGAGCGAGGTAAGGTAGGGTTAGATTAGACGGAGGTATAAATGACGTCTTTCCCATAAAGTGCCACTAATCATTTCTTTTCTAGACATAATGTCCGTTGTTTGTGGTAGCGTCGATAATATTGACAGATAAAATGATAATAACAAAATGTATTACATATTATATATACGTTACAGCCATTATAAAATGTTTCCACCCTAAAACTTAAAAAGCAAAAAGAAACATAATGTTTAAAAATATGAGATTATTCTCAATTTACTTAATTTGATTTTTGAACACGACATGTATTCCTCGTTAAAGGGCATACTGTGACTTGATAATATTAACATATAACATGTCAATAACAAAACCTGTCAAATATCATTATTATTGATACGAAATCCAACCTCTAACAAAGAACATCATTCACACTGAATTTCTAACTAAATAACTACACCAACTGAGCACTTAAAAAATCGATGGCACTGTAGCTGATAGCTGAAAAGGCCAAAGGCTATGGAATTAAAGTGCAATACTTTCATAGAGGGAGATAATGATCAAAACTCAAGCTTTTTGTTCATTTTTCACAATTATATATAGGCATGAATGAAAAGCAATGTCATCAATGATTAGGCTAACATTATTGAATCACTTAATCACCATGTGTAGTCAGTATCTTTAAACTTAGCTTAGTTTTTTTTTCTATTTGAGGCTCCTCTCCTTTTTCTTCAATTTTGTAGTAGGAAGTGATTTTCACGCACATTTTTCTCATCAAATGTTTTTAACTATTTTTTACCATTAAATTAACTGGATCAAAGAGATACAACCGTGATAAAGCAAATAGATCATTTCTGGATCTCTTTCACCAAAATCACCGAATCAAGTAATCCAAATCTTTCAAATTTCATTTAAAAACTCATCTATTCTGATCCCTTAAAAGAGGATCTCTTTCCCGAGATAAAAAAGCAAAAGTGTGCAAAATGGACGTGCCCCTTTGTTACAGCTAGGATAACAATAAAAAATCTATACGTCAAATTAGCTATTTTCTGGCAGTGACCAGGACCATCAAACAGTTACTTTTGTGGGATTACCATGGCCACTCTTTGTTGGGGACCCAAATTTGCATGTCCATATATACAACCTTTTTCTTCAGTTGCAGTTAATCATTTTCCACTTAGCCTTTAATTTGTCTCATGCATTGCATATATAAAGGTTTTAACTTTGAGTAGTGATCTGTCAAATTATTAGTACACAGATTAGTCGGTTGTTTTTGTTGAGCGGAGTCATGTCTCTATATCCCATTGGAAAAGGATCCTCGCCTATCCTTTTTTTGGAGATTCTAGGGATCATATGATCGTAACTGTTTATCATATATCGTGTGGTTAATTTTCGGTAGATACTATTTATATTTAATTTTTAATTTTAAATTTTAAAATAATTTTCGATCATACGATATACAATGAACAATCACGATTACAAAATTTCTAGAATCTTCGTAAAAAAAATATCCGGGGAGATTCATTTTCCTTTCCCATCATCTCAACTTTTTCAATCAATTAGTGGATATCTACCAACCCGAGGAAGAAAATATCTGCCGATATGCCCCCGCGAAAGCAACAAGGATGAAAGAGATTATCAAACGATAAACCCTAGAATTACAATAATTAAAGAAAGATGTTCAACATAATAGCATGACTTTTACATAAATGGATACCAAGTCCTAAACACAAACGATCACTTCTCCTTCACCTAGAAAACAATTATAATTCAAGGAAAATGATTTTAAGAATTTTGTGATCGTGACCATTTATCATACATCGTACTATTAGTTTTCGTTAAATACTATTTATATTTAATTTTAAATTTTAAATTTTGAAATGATTTCTGACCGCACGATGTACAATAAACTATCACGATCACAAGATTTTTAGGATCCCCAAGAAAAGAATCCTTGCTAGATCCTTTTCCATAATCCAAATATGAAATAAATTTTAACATTTTAAATATTCCTAAACTCTAAGAACATAATCAAAGCGGATCATTCTGCCAAAATTCCAACTAAGGAACAATAATATGTTTAAAAAGTTAAAACAATAATATGTTCAAATATGTTAATATTTGAATATCATTCCAACAAGGATCATATTAATCTAAATTTACTATCCTGTAAGGTTCTAAAAGGCGTTAAACACTAGTAGGATGGCGAAAATAGGTTTGGAGGGTTTTTTTTTAAATTTTAATTAAATTTATTATATACATATTGTATTGGATGCATAATGCAAAATAAAATGACACATAAATTATAAAGTATTAGAATATATTGAAAACATGGAGAACAAGCAAATACTAAGTGTTCATCTAAGTATTCAATTTTTTTCACAATTTATAAGAAAAATAAAATGTCAATGAAAGTTCTCTATTTTTTGTCTAAGTGAGAATCGCGACCTAGGTGAGGTGCCTAGACGAGTCTAGCCGAGTTAAGCTGACATTTTAGAACAATGATATCATGATTAACTTCAAGTGAAAATTAAGTTTTACATAAATTAAAATGATGATTTAAATAACTTAAAAATAATGAATAAAAACCATTAATCATAAAAAATAAAAAAAACCAACCCTGGAGAAATTTAAACAATTAAACGATAAAGCATCCGACTTCACCTAACCAATTTCATCCAAATATTATAGCATAGTAATCCTAATTATTACCCATTGTGGACCCGTATTTTTCACCTCTCTAGAACAATGTCTCGCATGGCATTCCGGGTCCCTATCCACTCCCACGACCATTCAATAATGAGTAAGTCGATTGGACATGCAACGACAAATCGCTCCGACTTAGGATGGTTACCAAAAGGGATCTTAAATGGGCCTCTTGACCAGAGTTCTGCGGACAGATTCCTTCAAGAGTCGTAAGTGTAGAGCCAAAAATAATCAAGAGACGACATGTGAATTTTTAAGCAGAAAGGACAAAATTACCCTTGAGAAGCATTAAAATTCCCACGCGCGAGCGGTGGACAATCATCCCACAATCAAGTCAACAGTGCCCAAAATAGGTATTTATTTAAAACTTATTTCATCTATCTTCTCCACAAGGTGACCCCCAAAACATTCCTTTTAAATTATGTTAATTAGCTAATTAATAGATTTATTACCTAATTAATCTATTAATGGCTAATTAAACTAACAATTAACTACAAAATACACTCAAAAACACCGCAAAGGGTTGGCCACCTTCTCCCCCCATGCCCTATATATACTACCCCATTTTCTCAAAAAATCTAGGTCTACACTCTTGCTAAATACTCAAAATTCTCCAAACATTTTTCTCTGAAAATTCTAACTTTAGCATCGGAGGTTCTTCGGCCAAAGCACCCCCCCACCCAAATTCATCGTGGGCACGTGAGGCTATTGGCATTGACCTAAGAAGTTATTTGTTTTGTATGTGCAATTTTGTCTAAGAACAAGGCGGAAGAAATTTGCATCCACAAATTGGTGCTTTCATTGAGAATTGAGTCCCACACTCGTAGAAGACTCTCGCATCCAAGGTTTTCTATTTTCTTGTCCATTTGTAGATTTTTTGTACGTTCTTATTATTAGAATTTTTTATTTGCAAAAATTCTTTGATAAAACGTCAAAGAGAAGTACAATGGCTTGAAATTTAGAAATTTCAACAAATGAAAATTTCAACATTCAAGAGATGGGACCCCGGCAATCCACGAGGCTAAATGTGACAATAGGTGGAGCGGCACCACCACCACGAGTTTCTACCACGGGAACCACCACGGTGGCTACCACGGTAGCCACCCGCAGCAAGGTCCATGCTGTCACTACCACGCCCTGAGCCGTGCCATCCAAGGCATCTCATAACACTAAGGCCACGACCCAAGTCATGTCACTCCATGCCCAATGCGAGCCCAAAGCGTTGCTAAGTTGAGCCCAAGCCTCGCACCCACGTGCATCATACGCCGAGTAGCCTATTTCAGTGGCCTAGCCTGCTCCCGCCAAGCAGCCCACTTTGGCGGCCTAGCCTGCTCTCGCGACCCAGCCCACTCCCATGGCCCAACATGCTCTCGCCAAGCAGCCCACTCTTATAGCCCAGCCTGCTTCCGCGGCATTCTAAGCAGCCCAAATTGGCCTAAGACTATCTCAACCATCCGGACCAACCATCGAGCTGGGGGCATTTTCATCACGTTTCTCCGTGGATTTAACATTTCCCAATTCAAATCTCATGCCTGAAGCCTACCACACTTTCCTTTGCTCAATGAGGCATATTCCTTCCA